GGGTGAGGAGGCGGTCCAAATAGTTCTCCCAGTCATGGGGGATCTTGTCCTCATCCTCAGCCTCCTCGGTATACAGTCCCTCTGCCAGCTTGCGCTTCTTCTGCGTTGTGTGGAGCTGGTACTGCAAGGTCCGGACCTTCCATAAGTTGTAGACACACAACATCCTCTTAGACAGCTCTCGGCTGACCCTCGAGAGTGTGGCATCAGCTGGATGGACCTCAGGTGGGAACCTCATGCGATACCTGACCCAGAAGTTGGTTTTGACATCGGGCAGCTCCGTGTCAGCAAGCATGGTGTCCAGATCACTGATGCTGATCTTGGACCTGTCCTGATCCTGATTCTTATAATGCAAGGTCACTGCTGTCCAAGCTCTGCGTAGCCTCGACCCTTGGATCAACCTCTCATCGCCAAGTTGCAGCTTGGCCAAGAACGTGTCGACTTTCGACTCATCTTCAAAGAGGAACCGAAATTCTTCGAGGTTCTGAATCTTGGTAGCCAACAACGCCTTGGTCACAACGGGGTCCAATGAAAAATTCAGCCCTAGAGACTCCATGGTTTCCTGAATGGTGGTACTCTCCACCGGAACCAATCGAACACTAGTCATTTTCTCAAGGTAACTCCTTGTATGACTTGAACATTCAAAGCTGCTCACCCCCATACATGCCTCCCGCATGCTGCTCATCACCTGCCGTTCAGGGACAAAAGGAGGTGACGGGGGGGGTAAGACAAGAACTCCCCTGTTCCTCAGGGGTAAGACAGACTGCTACCTTAACCTATATCCCCGGCTCATGTCATGTAGCTTGTACTCACAGATTCCTGTGTAAGCCACCTCATGAAATACCGGTAAGGCTAATTAGAACAGTCTGTCATGGACTCATCCTCCCGGATGTCAATAAGGGCTATTTTCCACGCAGAAATCAAAGCTCTCCAATGGGTCAAATGCAAGTTGGCCTACGGGCAAGCTATGGACCACGTTGATCAGCCTACCAAAATCGGCCCTGTGCCTCTCTTATTCAAATGAATTCTGGTGCGCCACCACTGACACGGTCAGCGCGGATGCCAGCTCGCTGCTGCTCGCACCAAACAACCATCACAAAAAGCGCGGCCCCAAGCCATGGCCTCCCTCATGTCCTGCGTCGTCATCGGTTTCACCAAGCGGATTGCACGCTCGGCTGATTGCTTGTGGGAGCAGAGGGTCTGGCCATTGTTGAGCTCCAGGTGGACCTTAGATCGAAGTGTTGCGATGTAGCCACAGGGCTCTGGGAACGGGTTCCTGAGGGAGCTGGTCCTGATAGTCGTGTCTACCCACGACCTCATGCCCTCTTCATGGATGATCCCTGGAATGTCCAGCGTGCGCCTGCAGCTCTTGACATAGGCCACTGCAACGTCCCAGCTCTCCTGGGCTAACAGTGCTCGAAACACACAGCCTCCAACACCTGCTCTGTGGCGTCCTGACAGGCAGTGGATGAGGGCCGACTCGCCTGCATACATGGTGTTGCGCAACAGGGGCCATACTTCTTCGAAGTCGCGGTTCCTCGAACCACCATGGGCCACACACAGGTGCTTCAAGAGGGCATCTGTGAGCACCACTCCTCCTCTGGATGATGGGGCTTCGGCCATGCATGCAATCTGAAGGGTAACTCCCTTTGGAAAGCGATGCGCCGTGTTCCGGGTTGGGATTCCACTCAGCCACAGCTTACCCCCTGCGCTGTTCTGGTAGATAAGGCTCGGGCTCTCTGCTGTCTTGCCATGGATGGTCGCCAACCTGTCAAACTTCTGATCTGGCCCCCGAGTATCCAGTGCCTCTGGAATCGGAAGGTCTTCCTCTTCAACTTCAATCTCCTCTTCTTCCGAACTGGTAACCAGGGCGGGCAACGGAGCTGGAGGTGGAGCAGGGGCTGCTTTGGCCTTCTTCTCTGGCGGTGCCTTGGGCGGTGGCCCTTGTGGGGACCTCGGGCGCCTCACTGACGCCCTGGGAGGGGCAACTGGCTCAGGAGGTCGCTCCTCCGTGGCTTGGCCTTAGCAGATCCAGAACCAGGCCCTTCGCCAGGCATTTCCTCCACCTTGATGAACTTCTTGTCGTGGCATTCACAGGCTGGATCACCTCCGCCACAGACACGTCCAGCTTTGCGCAGCACGGCACAAGCGTGTCGCCCAGGACAGGCTTCTTTCTCCAAGGGGCATGTTCTCGTCTGGTAGGCTCCGCAAATAGGTGCCCCATTCTTCATGAATGCGCTCAGCACCTTCCCGTTGAGGGATGCCGGCATCTCAGACAAGCCACCCTTAGCTTGAGCTTCCTCTCTCTTGGCAGCTGCTTTGAGCTTGAGGGCCTCGGACAGTTGGAAACGTGCCTGCATTTCAGCCTTCGTCAAGAGAGCCGCCCAAATGACCCTGGATTCTTGTTTCAGCACCTTGTCAACATTCTGACGTGCGTACTCCAAGGCCTCAGTGTAGGTCTCTGTTGGGATCGTTTCCCATGACTCGTAGGCCAGCAACTTCTCCATGGCCAACCGGACAATGTGCTTGGTCCGCAGCGAGTGTTCATACCTGGCTGCACTGTAGTGCATCGGCATCGTCGCCTCTTTCGGAATCTGGGAGCGGTCTGCCCAGTCTCCAAGGGAACACAGCTCCAGGGGCGTCAGCTTCATCAGTGTTCCCACTGTTGGTCCAGCTCGCCTCCAGGAGTATGAAGACAGGTCTTCTGTGTTCTGGACCAAATGCTCAAAGACTTCACGGTTGAGCTCATTGACAAACTTCAACGTGTATGCGGTGCCCTCCGCATCAAAGCATAGTCCTGAAGATGCTTGCTTGGCCTTCTCGAGACTGCTGTAGTCCCTGAATAGGGCTGATCCCCAAGCCCATCCATTGATGAATGTGGCCGGGATGCTGAAGGAGAACCCGCCCCTATTGGCCTTCTGCTTGCCTTTTGGGCAATAGCCGTGAAAGGAGCATGGGGTCACTTTCACCGGTCTGGCACGCATGATGTGCTTGTACCGCAGGACACCAAAAGCGACCAGCCAGCTGGAAAGTAAGCCCCTCCAGCGGGGGTCCCCTGCCTCATACAACGATTGAATTCGTTCTTCAAGCGCTGCAATCATCGGAGGCTCGTACATCACTGAAGTCCCATTGCAAACGACCATGTTTGGAAAACAACTTCAATGAATGAAAAGCTCGGTAGGGCCCAGACGTTCCGTTCTGCAAGAAGCCATAGAGGTCCAGAGCATCTGGCGGGAACAAACGGTCCTTCTGCTCCATATAGGCCCGCAACTCTGCCCATGACTTGAGAGCATTCACCACCGTCGCGCCCTCTGCCTCTGTCACCTTCCGCTTGGCCAGCGTATCCAGCGCGTCCTGCCACTGTGAATACCTCTCAGGGGTCAACTCCCCTTGAGGGCGCATCACCTTGGCCTGAGAGAAGGCTTTCCGCAATGCCTCAGCTCGCAGCAACACATGCTCTGGTTGGTCTGGACCTGGGCGGACACGGAGAGCTTGGACCATCTTGCTCTTCTTCATCATTGACGCTTTGGGCGTAGGCCAAGTTGCTGGTCGGTCTTTGGATCCTGAGCTTTCTGCTACCGCCGCAGCTTGAGGGATGAGGTCCTCCTCAATGGATTTGGATCGCGCCTGCAACCACGCATCGGCCACATGGTGCCCTCCATGTGCCACAGCGCTGTCATAGGATGCAAACGCATAAGCAAAGTCCGTCTCGTCGTGCAATCCCCATTGAGACCTCAACTCGGGTAGCTGCCACTCTCTCCATCGCCGTCTCTGCGCATGGTGGAGCTTCGCTTGCAGCCTGCACTGCATAGGCTCCAGGGTGGTACGCCATGGCGACCCCTGACACCACCGCAGCCAAGGTTTGGAGCGTACGTGCTGGGCCTGAAACTGCGGACCAAACCTCAGTATCACCAGGCAACAAAAACACATCACTAGGCCGCAGCTGCTGCAGATGGGTCTCTACGCAAGACGGGGTGACATCCTGGACATTGGGAGGGTGGACAGGTACTGCACACGGAGGAGAAGCATCGCTCACAGAGTTCAGGCGTCGGCAGCCCACAAGCCTTGCAAGGTGGCAAGGGTTCCTCCCCAGCCTCCATGGCACCGAGCCAGCCCCATAACGACCGAACTGCTCTGGCCCGTGGTGCTCTCCACGCAACCAGGTCAGCTGGGATGGGCACCATGGATGGGTCTCTCCATCCTCGACGTGGGGACTGCCAGGTAGGTCGACCATGCTCTCGGCATTGTGCTCGATGAAGGCGACCAGGCCGAAAATGTTGTCGGGCGCAAAGTCCCGGGCTGTCCAATGCGTCCGCAGCGGTTCGATAAGCAGCAGATCCAGCTTCGCCTCGCCCAGGCGATCATAGTAGGATTGCCACGCCAGCCGCGGGTCACTCCCGGGCAGAGCCAAGACAGCTGAACTGTTCCATGTGCCAATCCAAGGGAACTTGAATCCTCCCAGATATTCATTGCACCTCCTACAGTTCTCTTCCATGCAAGGTGATCTTCTGAATGGGGGAAGTCCCTGCACCCCCAACCCAATTGGATGAGGGCACACAGATGCCCACAACCGGGTGGCCTGGGCCACCAAGCCCCGTTGGAGCAAGCCCTCCACGTGCGTCTTGAACTCGTAGTAGGCAGCAGCGTGAAGAAGCTCCACATCTGTGTGGGCAGCCTCATTCCAACCGGGCCGGACGACGACGGAGGCCCTTGGCATCGAGGGGTGACCTCCCACCTTCGTAACCTCCGTACTCTAGGGTAACGCCCTAGTAGAGGAACGAGAACCACTAACCCTAGGGTAACTCCCTAGAAGTGGCGTGGGTACCCCAGCAAAAGAAAGAACGATGAAGCCAGTTTGGCTCAGACTTGAGCCAAAATGGATTCATCAGCTTACATACTCACCCTAATGATAATGCACACCCAGTGCCTGCCAAACACGATGCATACATATATATATATATGTGTGTGTGTATGTATATTGCAGCGGTTATTTTTATCCCGTCCTCTTCGTCAAAGCCTCTCTCGTATCTTGCCTTGTGGCTGTTGGCCACCATGGCCTTGGCCCACGCAAAGCGAGGCGAAGTCGTGTCCAGCAAGACTTTCGAAACGGTTCGAAGATTGAAAGCTGTCGGATTCGAGACTTTCGAAAGCTGTACAAAAGAAAGTTAGGCAAGCGCTCAGACTTCAGGATTGGCTCATAGGCTCGCACTGCTTGAGTGTGCTTGTCTTCTCCGAACGGCCGCACATTCCTGTTGGTCACCGTGGAATCTAGCAGATCGGAAATGTTGTTTCGACTTATGTTGCCGTAACTCTAGGATACTCTAGGGAAGGTGGACAGCAATTGGCAGGGTCCTGGCAACCATGCGACGGCCCTCATAGCCAATTTCAAAGGTCACCCGCTCTCCAGGCATATCGGGATGCCTTGTGTCAAGCATATCATGTGTGCACTTACAGCTCAAACCGCACAAAGGTCTTGTTGATTCTTCACTTGTTCGCTGCAGAATCTAGCCAACAAGCAACTGATTAAGTACATTTGAGTGCAATCAGGGCACAACAGGCGAGAGCTGACATTCTCCCTTGTGAAGTACAAGTCCTTCGCGACTTATAATGCTGGTGCTGCGCAATTTTATTCATCAAGCATAATCAACCTAACGCGTCAAGCTGGTCTTGACGTATCTCATATAACTTGTCGCCTGGATGTCAGAGTTGCCAGTGCACATGATGAAACCAAACCTCCATAGCGGCAAAAGTGAACACGAATATAAACCTGGCTGGCACCTGCAACAAGTTGCAATTCACCCTAGTTCAGGTCATGACCCCTTCTTGTTGTAGCTTTTGACCTGAATTTTCGTCCACTGCAGGCATGGCAAATGAAGTAATTTTCAGCTCCGATCAAGACATATCAACAGACATATCACGATTCTCAATGCCCAAGCATGCCGCCATTCCGTGCAGTGTGGTGCCAGAGGACGGCGGTGGCTGTGACGCTCTTTGCGCATCGGCTGCTGGCCTTCAAAGCTTTGCAGTTTACGAATCTGGCGCTAAGGGTGTGGCCTGAAAGCAATTGCTACGAGGCGAAAGCTGAACTGTCATACAAACTTTCGGAACTTGTGGAGAAAGTTGACTCGTGCATACTCGTGCTCAATCGGCCTTGGCGTTCCACACTTAAAGCAAATCGGCCGCTTGACGAAATTTCTCTCTCTACCTCAGCCACATATCAGCCAACAGAAGATAGGTTTGGCCCCAGCTCTTTCAGCATTCCAGCCCTAAATTGAGGAGCCCTGCAGTTGTTATTGGGGCATTGCCAGTCCCGGCTTCGGTCCTGCAACTCTGGTTGAAGCCAATTGAAAGCGTTATACATTGATGGACATGGTGGACTGAGCTGATTGGCAAAGGAAGTTTTCAAGGCTCGACACGTCAGGCACAAGTTTCCTCTTCACAGTAGCTACTGCCGGCAGCGCCTTTGCCGCCAAAGCCTGCACAGGGCCAAGGGAATGACATGCCTCTGAATCATGCAAGAGCGTAGGTGCCAAGCCGGGAGTGCAGCGGCTAAACAGAATCAAAAGAAACAATATTGGGGTAAGGTAAGCATCATTATATAAATTATATATGTAAAATATCTACGTACTTGAGTCGCTGACATCAATGAACTCCACTCTTGGTCAGCTGGTTTGAATGGCAGACTTTGTTTGAAACAATCCAATAGCATGATCAACTTGTTCAATCGGCATACTGCCCAGCAAAACCGGCGCCTTTGTTGAAGCCTTTGAATCCACCGAAGGCCATGGCTGGGGGCTACCGAATGGCAGGCCAGCGGAGCATGTGTAATTGCTCCGGACTGTGACGGGCCCTCTTTTTTTTGCGTGAAACATCGTGAAACCATGTGGCAAAGCGTGGCAAAGAACAGCCAAAACCGGAAAATGCTCAAAGGTGCAGGGCTCTCTACTTGCGTGTTCTTGCAGGCGCTGGTCTGTTTAACTTGTTCCATTTGTTGCGGTAGGAAAGCACTGAAAAGGACGGCAAAGACTTTCTCAGTGTTTCTAGGTTTGGCAAACATCCATCTATCCATGGTTAGCAACTTCAGGTAGGGCTGGTAGAAGCCAAGCTATGAATGTGGGGTGGGTGCTGGCTGGGGGCTGGCTTGTGGGAAGGCTACAGCAGTAGTGGGAAAGCAAAAAAAAGTCTTCATCAAAGGGTACTGAGATCCACGTGCCTTTTTCTGTCGTAAGGAGTTGCATGGAGCCAAAATCAAGACGAGAGCTGAGTGATCCACCATGAAGTGCTTATTTCAACTGTCAGCACAAAGTAAGGAAAGTTCAAGGTGCAAGCGGGCCAAAGAAGTCCTGCCCACCCAGGTTCCGAAACTGGTCCACCATGTCTTGCGTCATTGGTGCCTCCAGTCTAGATTGAAAATCAGAAGAATAACGGCATCTTGTCGCTACGCATTGCGGCTGCAGGGTCTGTGAAGTTAATGCTCAAACGGTCAAACGTCTCATCCTGGGCTAATCACCCAAAAGTCCTTGATCAAGCCTTCGTACCTGCGTAGCATGTTCACACAGCGTGGCTTGCACCGAGCTGTCAAATGCTGTCACATGCTCTCTTGCTGTCACTTGCTTCCAGGAGCGCACCCGCAAAAGAAACCAATCAACTTGGCAGGCGGTGAAAGCCCTGACCTCAGCAGCTGAGACGATTGAAAGTTGAGGAGATCAGCTTGGCTTAGCCGCTAAGCATCGCTAAGCCAGGCGCAAATAGTCGAACAGGCCAGCCAGTGCAGGATGGAAACCAGGCACCTGAACCGCTCAGCTGTGTGCGGGTCTGACCTTGTGAGTTTTCATTGTCATTATGCGTCATTCAGTCGTGCATTGTCTTCATCCTGCCTGGCTGCTGGCGAAAACAATTCCAACAGTCAGAGCTTTGCTGGTTTCCGTCCTCAGCTAAGCTGGCAATCATCTCAGGCTACCCTTTCTTCTCACAAGTCAACTTGTGGAGCCACCCACTCTGGGCACAGAACATACCAGTCTGCAGCATTGTGGATGTTGGAGACCGCTCCGAGAAAGTTGATACCATCTCGTCAAGGGTCAAAATCCAATTGTTCTTGGAAGCTCCCATTCCCTTCTCAATCTATCTATATATATATATATAAATCGAGTGAAAAACACATCCATCCCGCATAGCAAAAAAATGGGCTGCAAATTCTGTTCCACCTGCCCTCGGGCCTCATCCCCCTCTGATGACACAGGAGGGACGAGGCGAATAGCTGACCTGTTCCGAAACCAGTATGCCACAGCATGCCACACAAGTTCAAGTGATTCAAGGGAGCAAAAGGTTCAAAGAGGAAGCTCTCTGCTCAGCCAAGGCTCGTCCCAGCTGTTGTGAGCGGGAAAGACTTCACAAGCTCCTGCAATATTTAATCAATAACTTGCGGGTTCTCCACTGTGCCGCCCCATGACGCAGCATTTTCAGGCTCATCTGAGAAGCAGAGTGCCAGCCGAGGCTAAGGTCCTCGAAGGAATCACAGGAGTGTGGAGCCAGCTCATCCTCCTGCACGCAGCTTTGCGAATCTTTCCAAGCTCAAACCGAAAGAAGAAAAATAGTGCGAGGACCTGTGAAGTGACTGGACCACGGAGGTAGCTTGGGATGGCTGGCTTGTAACGAAGACGCTGCTGCCTCAGAAACCGACTTGCCATGACTTGCCAAGAAAATGCGAAATGGAACACATATATTGAAAAATAGAACACGTGGCACACATTTCGATGTCATCTGCACTGCTATCTCACTAAGGGTCGCACTCCAATGCCCCCAGGTTCTCTTTGACACGAGCGTCACGAACGACCTCACAAGTTTCGGATATGTTGCATTCATTCCATCCATTCCATCCACACCAGCATGCCACCACGCTCCCTTCGTCTCTGGTCCATGTCTGCAAATGCCTGTGAGCCCCAAGTCCAGGGAGCCCACATAGGGATCCGTAGACATCACCAGCGGCGCAGGCTGAAGGACTGGTTGGATGATCTGCTTCAGCTCATCGACACCTCAAGCACAACAGCCTTGCCTCGATCTGACGTGGATGAATTAGTGACTTAGTGGTTGGGGCTCAGGCTCAAGTAGTCAGCCAACAGAGTGTAAGGCCGATCGGACCTTACAGAAACTTACAGAATCTCACGGAATTCAGACTGTGCCACCCGAAGCTCAGTCTGTTCTGTGGGCTATTTTCTGAGTGCAGCTACAATGGGCCCACATCACCCGAAGTGTCGAACCTCAGGAGCTTCCGGTAGAGCACAGAAAAGGAAGCTACAGAAAAGGAGCACCGATTGTTGGCTTCATCCCCCAAAACCTCACAGGATGAAGCTACATGGCTAACGGCTAACATGTCTTGCATCCGTCGAAGCACTGCATAGGCCCAGGTGACTTGAAGACGTTGGACTCCACCTTGGTGGATCCATAGGTATCCCTTGAGGTATCCCCTGATGGCACATGGGCAGATTCCATGATAAATGTAATAAACCTTGCACAATCTTTCAACGCACGGGCACCAATCTATGATCGGCCTACTGGCACTGGGGCTCGCACCCAAGCCTCCTTGAAATGTCGAAAGACCTTCCAAGGTGCTCGCCAAAAATGGACCTAACCAATTGCAATGGACCTAAACCTGACATATTAAATGGCTTGATGCCAGGGATTGTCTATGAACCGAGGACCCGAGAGAATCCATTGATGTTGATATTATATGATAATGATATGGTCATAATATCCTTCAGCACAGCATGACACGGCCTCCCTCAGGTTCGGCTTGACAAACTTTGCCATTTTGGGAATCTGCCGTGCAGGGCCTCGGACATGGCGAGGGTTTCAAGAGTGGCCAAAGACAAAGGGTTCAGCGTTCCTTCTTTCAATCCTACAGCTGCGGACTAGCGCCTCCCTGCCAGCCAGTTTTCAAAAGTGAGTAGCAGACATGATGCCTTTTTGGGCAATGGTACCTGCAAAAGGCATCTAAGAGCAAGAGAGAAAATGAGTAAAAATCCGCCCACACCGCTTTGGCGGTGAAGGCGTGCTTATTGGGGGGCAACAGCAACACTAAATGCTCAATGACATTTGTTAATATAGCAGTCGCTATATCAGCTTTAGCTGGGGGGGGGCAAAAAACGGTTTCGCACCGAGACCAGACCCCAAAAACGGTTTCGCACCGAGACCAGAATTCGGTGGTGTTTTCGACATTTTTCGAGGATTTTTGGGTGTCTGAGCCCAAGAGGGTATTGAAATGGAATTTTGGGTCATTTTGGTAGCTTTCCGGCAATGGAAAAACGGCATAGCAAGATTTTGCAGGGTTTTTGGATGCCAGAGCATTGAAAACACTGCAAAAACAAGTGTTTTGGACTGACGTTATAGCAAAAAACGTGTAAATTACTGTATGCTTGACTGGAAACATTACAAAAACACTGTCAAAAGCAATGTTTTGGAAGAATTTACTGCCTTTATGGCAAAAAACGTGTAAATTACCGTCTGTTTGACTGGAAACATTGGAAAAACACTGTCAAACACAATGTTTTGCAAGGATTTCTTATATATATATATGTTGGACTTGGCTACCGGCATTGGAACATGAAAAAATTGAAGAAAACACTGTAAATAGCGGTATTTTCAACGGTTGGGGAGATGAGGGAATTGGAAGCATTGTCGAACATGATGTTTTCGACCGGTTTTATGGCGACAAAAGTGTAAAGTACCGTGCTTTGAAGGAAACCATTGCAAAAACATGGAAAACACATTCAAAGAACACGGGATTTGGGGGACTATCTAGGCGTCGTTGTCTAGGTATTTGAAATTCCGCAGCTTGGAGAGCCTCCAAGGGAGGGAAAAGTGAAAATTCCATAGCTTGGGAAGCTGTCACGGCGGGGAACAGTGAAAATTCCCTAGCTTGGGAAGCCCCCACGGGGGGGAAAAGTGAAAATTCCCTAGCTTGGGGAGCCCCCACGGGGGGGAAAAGTGAAAATTCCCTAGCTTGGAAAAGTGAAAATTCCCTAGCTTGGGGAGCCCCCACGGGGGGGAAAAGTGAAAATTCCCTAGCTTGGGGAGCCCCCACGGGGGGGAAAAGTGAAAATTCCCTAGCTTGGGGAGGGGGAAAAGTGAAAATTCCCTAGCTTAGGGAGCCCCCACGGGGGGGGAAAGTGAAAATTCTTAGCTTGGGGAGCCCCCACGGGGGAAGACCACCCTTAGCCCCTCTCACGGACCGAAATAAACCTGCGGTGTGGGCGGCCACCCCACGCGAAGCGGGGTGAATAATAGAAACGGGGCCATGCAAGACCTCGAAGGCAAAGCCGCGCAGCATGTTTTTTTCGCTTGTTTGTCGGTCTTTGCTCAGAGGTCTGCTGCAGGATGGACCTCATTTCAAGTTCCGAGAACCATTTTTCTGAGCTGCACAGAGACTGCTGAATCCGAGTCCCAGCAAAGCTTCTTGGACGGTTCTGCTGAAAAATGTGAGAGCTATTCCTCACACATCACAACACAGAACATCAGAAAACCAGAAGTTCAGTGTCATTTGCAAAACCGCCCGCGCGCATTCGGTCCTCTCTGCTGACTTGCGTCGCAAATTGCCTGCCCAAGGGTGCGTCGTGTCTTGAACTTACCACTGCTGACCACCTCGCCCCTGCATCTGGCTGAAGTCGTAGACCAATGTTGGACCAAGGTACCGCGATTTCTGCCAACATGGTGGCCTAGGTTCACTGTGCCCAAATGTTGCAGGAGACTGTCAGCAGCATTAGCACGCGGCACCACCAGCCACCAGCAGCCACCCAGTACCCACCCAGTACCCCGCCAAGTTGAGGTCAGTGCATCTGGGCGACCGGAGCGCTGTTGCAGCATGGCCAAAATACCAAGTACTACCTGGTTGCTGAGGTCATCTCACTGCATTCAAAATTGCAAAACAACTCACGAGCTGTCAGTCGAAGGGCTTCATGTGCCAACCGGGAACGTGACTTCCCATCTGGAAGAAGATCCATGCAAAGCCTTGTTCTTCACTTCATTTCACTTGACGATCACGCAATCTTTGATGCGAGCCGTGCAATATGTTCAAGTCACACTTGCTGGTGCTATGATGAGCTACGGACAGAGCACCACACCTCCAGAATTCATGCATTAAAATATTTCAAAATCATTCAAATCACCAAATCAAGCATGGGACCATGAGACTTCGGTCCAGAAATGTTTAGAGTCATCAATGAGTCATCAAGTTTCAACCAGTCGCAACCCACCTCTAGGGACAGGAGCGCAGGGCCCCTCGCCACTTCACTGCTTTCAGGTGCTGGCTCCAACGGCTCCAACCGCAGCATCTTTAAGATGAGCTCCCACTGGCCTCCGGGGCAACAGGCAAATTTTTGGAACATACACGTGACTCACGTGACATGTGGAGCATCATGTGGAGCATCATGTGTTGGATGGTCTGGATGGTGTTAGATGGTGTTGCTGTGCGGGCTTTCATGTCATTGTGTATCAGCCTAGGAGGTGCC